ACGATGTAAATATTGGTAAGTTTGATTGGATTTTATTAGTTTACGTGATTTTGCGCAAGACAGATAAAAGGGTTTATTAACTATCTTGCCTTCTTTTTATATGATTTGTAATGGGTCTAAGTTTCGATTTTTGGAATAATCCTTTTAAGGTAAATACGTTATTATGATTCATTGGTACTCATTAACTTATAATAGAAAAATTTAACGCTATCCCGTATATAAAGGTTATCATTTTTTTTCACGTAAGGTGGAGAAGATACGAGAACGATTTCTAACTTGACAATAAACGCAATCAGGTATTAGCATTTCTTTATTACCAATAACATATATTCTTGCGTAAATCATCCCACAGACTAAGAGTGGACGTTAATTAGCGAGAGATCATGTAATGCTGATAAATCGTGGATTGCTTAGAGGCAGAACCTCATGGCTTTGCAATACTGGTCATCGCATTGACCCACGAATGATTATGAAGTTTAATGGAGCTAGTACAAGGTTAATATTTTTGTACATAAGAGTCACATGACTCAGAGAGTCGCCCTACGGGCTAGTAGCTAACTATCAGAAAAATATTAATATAAATAAATTAGGTCACACAAGCGACATGCGCAGATTGAACGGTCCGATTTTGTATAAGTTTCGTCGTAATTTAAATAATAATAGTAACCTTCGTCATCATCGTCAGAAAATCCACAGAAGCTACTATCATCATCTTTAGGCGCATTAGTATCCTCACTCCGTGAGTCATCTTCGCTGTTATCGAAGGGATCATCATCGGAAATCATGGAAATGATAGCATTAATCTCGTCCTCCTCAGATAAAGATTTAGATGTGGGAGCATCATTGCGAAGTAATGCGTCCTCATTTATCTTATTTTCTGAATCTCGATCATTACTCACCTGTAAAGTTTTTTCAATCTCTTATCCTCCAGTAAAGATTTAGATGCAATAACATCTCCACTGCACGAGACTTCAGTGTCGATAAATAATCTGAAGAATTATTTTGTTCATCAGTGAATTCTATATCAGGCTTTTTGGTGAAGTGATCTATAATCGTTTGAATTTGTGAATTAGGTAAATTTCGAAATAGCATTCGCGCTATATGACTTAATATATTTTATTTTATCTAAACCTATTTTTTCGAATAACCTGTAAATTTTTCTAGCTCCTTCAATTTTCTTATATAGTGATTCGCGCCTGAGGTCAGCGAAAATTCAGTCACGTGTTGCGGAGATATGGAGTCATGATCTTGGGTAGATAGGAACGTATCATCCTGGCTATCATCTGTAGATATTTCCTGAATTAAGCCTCGTTCGTTTTTTCGCTCACGGGAAGTAGATGCAGTATTCTGGGCGCCTCCTGGCTAGGTGATCTACACTGATCTCATCACTAACCCTTTTCTTATGCGCTTCATCCAGGAACTCATCGATTTGGAATTTGAAGCGATATCAGATATATCAGATGCGTCTTCTGACATGTATTATCTTGCGGTAAAGAGGTTGCAGAGGGTGATGCAATTCAGACTTTGTCGGGCTGTGTTCTATTTCAGGCGAGGGATTAGGAATAGTCGTTTCTTCAGATGCGATAGCATAGTGTAAACTAGCATCCTCGCTACGTGAGTTGATAAGTTGCGGAATATCTTTTGTAGAAGATGCTCTCGGTTCATTAGTAATGACCTGAGTCAGCTTCTGTTCTAATTTCGTGACTATCTTTAAGCTCAGTATTCTCGGCAGTGAGCTTGGCAGTATCCGTTTTAATTTTTTTCTCTAACTCTTAAAACCTGGTTTTAAGCTCAATGCTCTCTTCTATGACCTGTCTTAACTTCACATTTTCAGCCTCGATCTCAACATATTTCTTTCTAAGTTCGGGAATTTTGGCATTCTCCTTTCTAAGATTAGTAATCTCGACTAAGAGCTTCGAATTTAGTTTCTTTCAAATAATCAATCTTAGATTGTGTGTTTACCATTTTTTAAATAAAATACAAATTCAAAAGTGAATTTAGAAAATTATCATGTAATAACGCCATACAAAAATTGATTATCAAAAAAACGACCTTTTAGGCCTGCTTGCTTTATTTATACAATAAAAAATACATATAAAGCGGGGGACTATCTTCCCACTATTTTTTGGTAATTTTTTCTTGCTTGCTTTCGGGTTCATCGCATGCGGAAACCCTATCTTTCAACAACCCAACAATTATACTGATCACCTGTTTTATATCATCTCTCAAATTTTCCCGATTTCCCTTAAGTGACTTTTTCGTAAGATTTATCTGATATTCACCTTCTGAAGTAAACATGATAAAATGCCAATCCACACCTAAAAATAAATCCGAAATTAGCATATCAATATTACCTCCGGCAAGTATAATAGAAATTTTTCACATACCTGTTGACACAATCCCATATAGCAGTTCGTTTCTTCTTGTTCATGTGGAAGGAACTCTCGAGTTGGTTTATATTTTGGGGATAACCGATCTTAACATTTCGTGGTTTACCCTCAGTTATACACAAAGATCCTCCATCCCTGTTATGGCGTAATCAACTCTACCGGACGCTTCTCTGCAATTCGATATTGATTTCTTTATCCGTTAACCTCCGTGCGATTGCGATTGATGAAATAAATTCACATCGGGTCGCCTCGTTGGCCTCTATCATGGATTTTACATTCGTTAACCGTAATATTATTTCGTTCATGCATTGTTCGAGGGCTTTGTCGTCGTCATCGATTTTACGGAATCTATAGACAGAAAAAAATGAATTATTGCTGGAGGCAGTCACAAAGTGACTATACATCTGGAAATTTCGCTGACGGCCGGAAGGAAAAATGCCAAGAAAAAATATCACATACCTGGGTTGAATTGCTTGATATTCGTAATATCCTCGCCATTTACTTTGTATTTGCGGAGTACATCCTTCAGCTTTATATGTCGAGAAACTTCTTAATTTTTGTTCTGTTATCTCTTCGATAAAATCTACAAGAACAGTTGCTGTTCCCAATGTGAACCCTATACTTCGAAACCCTGCTTTGGTTAATTTGAGAAATGCACGACCGGTGATTTTTTCTTTACGTAAGATTGCGAAATCATCATTGTCAAGTTCTAAAGTCCTGTCTACGCAAGTAATCGATAAGCTCTTCCGTCTTATAATTTTTGACCGCGTCCGCCATCGTTCGAGTTGACCTTTCTTCAGTCAAAGTGGAGGATGTAGAAACGGGTGAGGAAGGAGAAAAAAATCGGGTTTATGTAGGAGTGTGATATGCAAGGAAGAGAATGAAAAAATTTTCTGGACGAAACAGTGTCTATTTATTATAAAGTTGGCAGACATACGACGATCTCGGAGATTTCGACTTCCTAAGACATAAGTCCTTTGATTAATGGAGATTGACGGGCTGACCTTCCTTACTGCCTTTTCGCTGGTTCTTATCGTTCCCATCTAATATTGTAAATATGTTACATAGTTACTCGAACATCTATGCTGATCTCTGATTCGTTAATATATCGTAGGCGTGATGTGATTTTCGTTATATTATTCCTTGCCTTATGCGTTCCTGCGATAAGTAAAACATGAATTAGATTTAAAAGATCCATAAGGGGAATGGGTCTATCATTCTTTATCAACAGTTTCATTAAAAATCATATGTTGTAGGAATTTGGAATTCCCAGATCGCCAAGATCACATCTTGAAGGGGAGATCGTCAAATTTAAGTGGTTTATTACAACCGAAAAAATAGCCAAAATGTATTTGGTTTTTGGAATAGATTTAATGGCTCCGGACGGCATAAAATATTTCGTTATTTTCCCTGGTGGGTTCCAATAACGTTTTTTACCACTAATTCCAAGTAATGTACCATTATTCAATGTACCGCTATTTAATTAAGATTAAAGATTATAAAACGGTTTTGTGCTTACTATTATTCTGTATTTTAGGAACGAAAAAAATGGGTAGCTCTAATGATACCCTCATCTTCAGGACAGTATTTCCAAGACCAACAAAAGTATTGTTTCCAAGATCAGTGAAAATAGTGTTATTAAGATCACTCAACTCAACGACCCATCATCTAATTCAGGGACTGTAAATTTTTCTCAAACTCGTAAGTAAACTTTATACCGTACATTCGTCAGAGATGGCATATTTGATGATTTCAAAATAGGCAAGGTAGAAGCAATGCAAGGCAATTCAAGAATGGTTCAAACTGAATCTGAGAGAACAATAATTCATCGGCAGATAATATTAGTTTATTAAAATTATATGAGTATAAAGAGCGTAGAGTCTCCACTCATATTCGCATAATGTAACTGCCATCTGGTAATTTTTTTAAAAATAAAGAGATCCGCTAAATATGCGGATTTAACATATCGCTCCCTCGAGGCATATCGATAATTATCTATCCTAAAGACCTTGCCATGATCGAAATATTCCTTGATCAATGGCTTGAGTAAGACTATTTAATATATCAACTTGACGTTCTGAATTAATTTAATTTTATCACCTATTTTCTTGAGGAATTTATCATTATACTGTATATAGAAGGTCCGAGAAATCCTGGTTTGAGACAACAATTAATTTTTTACGCCCCTAGCTTTGACTATCTTCATTGTAAATTACTGTATATTATACACTTTATCTTTAGCCAGAAAAAATAAATATGATATTATATTCAATAATTAATCTTAGGCGCATATATTATCCAGCTTCCGGATATTGTCAATTATACTCGGTTTCTTCTACTGATTCTCGGGTGATAATCCAAGAAATTATTGTTTAATATACTCTTCGTTATTATTATATCCAATAAGATTACTATATCTTTTTAGAATAGTTTTACAGAATCTAGACCTTGGATTATTTGATTAATAATTGATTTAAGTTCATTGAACGAATTACTTTTAAGTTCTCAAAATAATCCCGTACACATTGACCAGATAAAATTCTCATCATGGTGCTTTATTATAATAATATATTTTTTTGTAACGTATTAATAAATATTTTAATATTTACAATGGTCAAAAATAGTTGTAAAACAGTTGCCACTGGCAATAATACCTCGAAAGTAGTATCTAAAATTGATAACCAAGTATCGTATAGAAGATTCTCACTTTCTTTTAGTCAGTTACTGAAGATAGTAAAACCTGAAATTCGTCAAAATATTATATATTCAACAACAAACCCGGATATACCCAAAAAACGACGTAACATAGCTGTAGAAAAGAAAAAAAACATTCATAATTATTCCTCAGAAGAGGATATAGAGGAGTTCTGGATGGAATCTGAATCCGATGATGAATCTAGTTCTAATGGTGAGCTTAATGCGTATGTAACAGTATAAAGAAGCATAATTAGTCATCATCAGAAAATTTACCATACAGGTTTATGATATTCTCGACATTATCATTTTCTTGTCTAGGCACTGGAATAATTATTCATATGCCATAATGTTCAATTGAAATTGTCATAAATATTGTTGATAGAAATTATTCTTATCTTTATATACTCTGGAAGTAAGATCAACACCTATTTTTCTTAACATAAATGTAATAATCCTATGATGACTCAAGAATTGATTAAGTGAAGATATATTAACATTTCTATTCTTATCTTTTAACAAGAAGGAAAATTTGTTTGATATTGATCTTTGAATCAAAATAAATAATTCTCTTATTTAAAAAAAATAAATAAGACTCGTTTTTTTTTTTAATTCATAATTATATCATCATAATATATCTTTATTGAGATATCAGAAATATTTACAATATTGCATAAACTATTTATATAATAACTAACTTGTCTTTACACATTATTAGTTAAAGAACCATACTACTTAAAAAATATAGTAAGTTCATTAAACCAAGCTAATTTGAATTAAACAAAACAAAGTTAAACTATATATTTTAAGTCAAATTTAAGAAACAATATTATAGTCTTCTAATAGATTGGTTATGACCTTTATCTATCAGAATCATTGCTTACAATTTATCACTATAGATTATCATGAAAAATAATGAATTTCTAAATTATATATTGGAAAATAAAAAAAAATTTTTTAAAAAATTTTTCAAAAAGTTTTTATTCAAGTAAATAGGCTTTTTTCAAAAAGAATCTATCTAATTGGATTATTCTCTAAACTTTGAACTATCTAAGGAACTTGGCTATTTTTGAATATAAAGATTTCAAGAAGAATATTTGAGAAACCATTTTTTTACTAATATATAAATTCAATTATTGTATTATTGATTTTTTTTTTTTTTTTTTTTTTTTTTTTTTTTAATCTGCAATCATGCCACAATGGCTTGTCTTTATTGAAAAATTGAAATAACTTTACAATATTTTACAGACTTTCACAAAG